AAAAAAAAAAAAAAAAAAAATGGTTAGGTTATGGATAAAGGTCATGGTTAGGCTATAGAAATGAATGAAAAATGAATGGAAGTCAATGCAAAGGCCCCACAAAGATAGCAAAACAAACCTGTGTGTGTGTGTGTGTGTGTGTGTGTGTGTGTGTGTGTGTGTGTGTGTGTGTGTGTGTGTGTGTGTGTGTGTGTGTGTGTGTGTGTGTGTGTGTGTGTGTGGGTGTGTGTGTGTGTGTGTGTGTGTGTGTGTGTGTGTGTGTGTGTGTGTGTGTGTGTGTGTGTGTGTGTGTGTGTGTGTGGATGGATGGATGGATGGATGGATGGATGGATGGATAAGTGAATGAATTATGTTAGAATATATCAAACTGTTCAAAATAAATGTTCCAAGCAGGGGTCAAACTCAGACTTTTTTATGGGGCAGCTGTGGTTGAGTGGTTAGAGCAGTAGTCCTCTAATGCAAGAGTTGGGGGTTTGAATCCACCAGCAGTCACATGCTGAAGTGTCCCTGGGCAAGACACTGAACCCCTCATAGCCTCTGATGTGTGTCCTATCAGTGTTTGAATGTGATAAAGCTCTGATTAGTCTCTTTAGAATGATTGGTTCAATTAGCTTTGTATAGATCTAGTAGAGAGATGGATGAATGGGTAAATGAGGCACAGATTGTTGTAAAGAGCTTTGAGTGTCTTGATAAGATAGAAAGTATATATAAAGTATAAAGTATATATATATAAGATATAAGTACAGTCCATTTACCATTTACTTTTGATTGCAAGATCACTGACTAACCATTGACCTATTACAGCCACACTCACCACAAAACTGGTTACATGAGATCCTACTATGGTAGCAAACATGTTCCAGTTCTTATCGCTCCTATATTCTCCACAGTTTTCTGTTCTGGTCCGCTCTGTCTTCTCCAAGTGAATTGAAACAGAATATATCCACTGTTGGACTCAGCTGGTTTCACTGCAACTCTGTGATCGCGTCAGGTCTAAAGTTAGTAGAGATCGTATCAATGTGCTAAACCCAGCCAAATGTGTTCAAAGGACAGAAAATTGGATGACCCAAATAAAATTCTATTGGACCAGCCTTTCTGAATCTATGGCGACATGTTCCGATCCACTTGACGAACGTGGGTCAGGGAATGGTACCACCCCAAGACAGTAAAAAAGTTAAAAAACTGAGGACAAATTGATAAAAGAATTTTAAATTACATTTAAATTTTTCAAAATAGCTGAAAAATGCACAGAACAAATCAATACACAGAAAACTCAGTGGGTAATTTACAATATTTAATAGGATGAACTACTTTGTGGGGCAAAAGTGCCCACCTGCCCTTAAGGAATGTCCACTACTGATAGACAGACGGGTCCGAAAGGCCATTTTGTTGAACAAGCCAAGTATTACATTAAACCTGTTGGACTTAAACTCTATAGGCTTATGCCACAAATTGAGTTTTTTTTAAAGATTTTAAGAAATAAAAGCTAACCAAATGTAGCTGGCCCAAAGTGAAATAATAATTTCTCTTTACCTGGTTTTAATGGTGAACCGATTTGAGTTATTCTATGGCTGATGCCAAAAGTTTAGAAACCAAGGCAGCCTATGGTTAATCTTCTATTGTTAATTCATATTCTTCTTTCGGCTGTTCCCTCTTCGGGGGTCTCCACAGCAAATCATCTTCCTCCATCTCACTCTGTTCTCTGCATCCTCTGTCCTCACTCCGATGCATATAATTAATGAAATGTTAAACTCAGAGCTATTTACCGTAATTGCCTCCACCAGTCAGACGGAACTGAAGACACCTGAACTTTAATATTTGTAAGAACCACAAAATCTGCTTCTTGAAATTTATCAGCATATGCTCACCCCAGGAAACAAAAATGAATTTAAATGAGTAAATGTATTAGATATCTTGGTGCAGTTCATTTACCTTAGACCAGTTACTGTACTCAGTACTCCTTCTCTGCTTCAGAGTATAGATGAACTTGTGGTAACTGCATGCCAGCTGCATCTCTGAAGCCCCCTTGGTACACAGACCCAATGAAATGCTTAGCACCGACAGCACATTCCAGGTGAAGGTCTTGTCCTGAAGGACGCATGAAGAAAGGGAGCAAAGTTACATCAAGCACAACAGCAACATATACCGTAATTCTTCACACCGACATATAAAAGCGCATAAGATAGTCCGCTCCACTAAGATATAATTGAAAACAAATTGAAAAACAGCATGTTCAAGAGATGATTTACATGTTTTCAACCAAACATTCCTCAAGATTCAAACAAACAAAAGCAAAAACAAAATAGATTTTGTTTGGTTGTACCTCAGACTGAAGAAGTCCATTGGATGACAGACAAAATGTCTCAGCACAAAAAAGAACCCGTCCAGATGACCTGACTGAACATTGTTGGATTTTATACCTGGATTATTGAGAATGGACTTTGGTGTTTCACCCCCTGGCTTTCATGCCAGAGTTTAGACTGACACTACGTTCACACTGCTGCTCTTAAAGCTTACGTCTGACTCTCTGCTCAGATTTGATGTTTGTGTGTGGTCGTTGTTTATGATTTAAATGTGACCTCCATCAATGTGAACAGTCCACAGTCCTGAAGCAGCCTGCAGACGTGACGTCACACGCAGCATTCTGCGTTTACACAATGAAATATGGGTGCTGCATGTTTGGATCTATTCTGAAGTTATTGTGCAATCAGAACTGATTAATTATCATCTGCAACGACTGGTTCATTCAGTATTTACATTTGATCTTGACACTTGCCATTTACGCCAGCACAACTTTGTATTTCTGGAACAGGAGTGATGTCATGAAATTGAAACAAACAAGTATTGATCCTAGGCCTGTCACGATAACAAATTTTGCTGGGCAATTAACTGACTAAGAAATTATTGCAATAAACGATAATATTGTTTGAAATTGACAATTATTAGTAATTATGGTCAAATTGAAGAAGAAATGTTGGTTAATTTTATTTTGAGTGTAGTATCTTTTTCGACCACCGTATGGCAGTGTAAGACTGTTTGAACCGAAGGATGGATAGTGAGGGAGCGAGCAGTGTGTCTCAAAGAAAAATGGGAGGGAGGCCCCTTGACGTTTCCTATGTTGTGGAATGTTTTTACAATCAAGACATCACGGTGATTTTTAGAAGTGGGCAGCATAAAGCAGGAGGGGTCAAACCTGACCTAGAGCCCAGAACAAGAGTTGCTCCCACTCATTCAAATAATCGTTGACTAATCCACAAATCATAAAAGATGTGCACCAATTAGTGGACTAACAAATTTAGCATTTGTTGCAGCCGTACATCCTGAGTTTTAATAACTTCTGTCTAGTGCAGGGGTCTCCAACCTTTCTGATCAAAAGAGTCATTTCTGCCCCTTGTTCACTAAATTAAACGTGTCCGGAGCCACAAAACATGCTACAATTATCATTATCAACTGGTGGCCCGCGGACCAATTTAAGGGCACTTTTCTGGTCAGTAGGGGTGATTTTATAAAGCTGAAAATACAGTAGCTAAGGATTTTCAACATTTATTGATATTTTTACATTATAAGACAAAATAAAAGACAAGATTCTTGTAAAGAATGAAAAATAATATAGTTTTGTCCAATTAAAAAAAAATAAAACAATGAATTATACAGCTCTGTGATTTTTTTTATTTTATTTTAGAAAAATTCAGTGTCCTATTTTGAAGAAATAAAGCATTAAGTGAATGAGAATATGTTTTATTCCTTATATTAGTTCTAGTATTCGCATATGTGCAAAGGAAATGACAAGAAAACTGTTAAAACCAGTCATTTTTGTTGTGATAAGAACCAATAAAATTCAGTTTTATGTTAGTTTTGGTCGAAGCTTGAAAGAGCTGCTGCAGAGGGACCACATGTGGCTCCAGAGCCGCAGGTTGTAGACCCCTAGTCTAGTGATTCATGAGATATTCTGCTAACAAAGTTAACTTTAAGTATTGTTATCAAATTTGTAATAAATTATGTTATGTAATATATTAAGAGTTCACAATGTGTTGGGAACCAGTATCGCCTACTACCACACCACATTTTAGCTAAATATTAATGAAATTGTCTGAATTAGACATTTTTGTTTTTTTCTGTCATTTATGTGGCAGCCATCTTGATGTATACCCAGCATTTACTTTTCAAAGGTTTCAGTAACAATAATCTGGTGGTTCATGAGATATTTTGCTAAAATACACACACATAACTCCCCCCCCCCCTTGTCCTGTCCATCATTGTGACACTTAGAATTATTGTGTGAGTGTCAAAGTGATGCCCAACAGATTTATTTTCACAAGCAGAGCATCATGGCTGACCTTAATGCTCCACTTGATATATAAATTAAACTTTATTAGAATTTGCTTTGGGCTTGTTTTAGATGTAATGGACACGGGGATGAAAACAAATAAGAAAACAAAGCAGAAAAGTGAGAGAAGAGTTAAAATGTAAAGAAGGAGATAGGAATAGAGGAGAGAGAGAGGGATAAAGAGAACACAAATCAACATCATTGAAGTCTGACTCTAGACCTGTGGAAAGAGAAAGACAAGACAAAACCGAGAAACCACAACAACAAACAACAAATATAATGATACTTATAACATCATTAGAAAGTATTTTATACAGTACATGGTAATACAAGATATATTTAGTGGCCACCACAACCCAACTGAGTGTGTATCTGATAAACACCTGGATCTAAACACCTATGTGAGCATGCTTGTCACTATAAGGTTTCTCCATAAAAATGTTCAATAGTGGATGTGGGGACCCACAGACCCGTCCCCACAGGACATGATGGTAACACAGGGAAGACCGGAACCACAGACACACAGCGGCCCCCAAGCCCGGAGCTCTGGGAGTCCCCCAACAGGGACACCCGCATCCCCAGAGAGAGAAGCAAAGGGAAGCCCCGGGCGACCCCCAGCAACCACAATGCAGAAACCCCCCAGGAGGCCATAGCAACGAGTCCACAGGCCCCGCCGGCAACCCGCCCCTCCAGAGTAGATCCAGCCATGGATACCAAGCCCCGAGTCCCGAGGTCATACTACCCCCCAACAGAGGCCCGACAGAGCCAGGGCACCCAGGCCCCGCAGGCAGCCACCAGGGCGGGCCCGCACACACCCTACCACCCAGCCCCAGCTGCTGAGAGCTGCCAATGCACCGACGGCAGGGGGACCAACCACAGGAGGGGAGCGCGACAGGGGGAAGTAGACCCCACATTAAATGGGGGGCCCAAATTGATCCAAGAGAGGGGACCACCTAAAACCCAACCTGAGACATAAACAGGCGCACAGAGACAGACCGACAGAGCCTCTGTCGGGCCGTCCATGCACCCCACCCACCCAACAGTGACTGCAAGCCGGCCCCAGGCCGGGGGCCAGAGCTGCAGGGAGCAGCAGCTGAGGAAGGCCGGCCCACCAAGGACCAGGAACCCCAACAGCCCCACACCACAGGCTCGGAGAAGCCACGGCACGCCACCCATGCACCCCCACATACACACAGCACCCCCCACCGCGAATGTCACACCAGGCCGACCAGCCAGCGCCCCATCAAAGCAAAGCCACGCCCCCAACCGCCGCCATACACCACCAACAGTTCATGAGATATGTTGCTAACATACACACACATAACTAAGACAAAAACATTCCCATCTACCTCAGAGTGGCTGATGAAAATGTTGAATCAATCAATCTATCAATCAATCAACTTTATTTCTATAGCATGTTTTCAAAACAGCAGGGGTAGCCAAAGTGCTGTACAATAAGACAAAAATAGATTAAAAACATACACAAAGAAACACACAAACATACACACACCAGGTTCACAGCAGGTGTGTATTAAGGTGCCATACAAGACAAGATCACAGTGATTTAAAAAACAAAGAATAAAAGTTCAAGAGAGATTTAAAAACAGGAAGAGAGGAAATGTTGAAGATGTTTCATTTAGAATTTATCACCTTAATGTTCAGGCAGACGTGTGTGTGTGTGTGCGCGCATGTGCGTGTGTGTGTGTGTGTGTGTGTGTGTGTTTGTCTTTGCTACATTGAGGGGACCACCACCAGATAGCACACTCACGGTGTGGGGACGAAAATTTTTGTGGGGACCAAAAACCTGGTCCCCACGAAGTTTGCATTAGATTCAATGAAAGGAAGGTCAGCATGATACCCTGTTCAATTTTTAAGGTAGTCCCTACAATTCACAAAAACCAACATAATGTGTATAGGTGTGTGTAAGATAGGTAACTCAGTATCGGCCCATAGTGGTAGGTTGTGGTATTGCAGGAATACACACTTACACAACACACAGCAATCTTACTCTGCTGTCTTTGTTGGGACACATAAAAAAGTATATCTGTGGATTTTTTTTACATGTCTTTTTAATGCCTTGAAATATTTTTATTATTTCCTCCTTGTTAATTTATGACGTTCACATATGTTTGGAACCACTGGCATGATTGCAGATTGGTTATCGACTTGTTTACTGTTATATTAATGACATTAATGGCCATAAAAATATTAAATTATTGGTCAAATGGGTAAATACTAAAATTAGTTTAATTAAATAGCTAACAATGATGCTTTTTACCTATTATCAGTCTGTGGTAATTCTTTGTTATTCTTGCAAATGTTATACTTGCAAAGGTGTAAAAAACAACTTATGGCATGGTAGTAGCATATTACTAGAACTGCTATAATGATCATATACAACATAATTTTGTTTATAAGTGCATGTATGTGGAACCTTTAAGGTAAAAGTCTTGTCAAAATACCATTGTCTCTTTAAAGTGTCATTGATAATTAATATATGAAAACTTTAATGTCTTAAATGATCTTAAATGGTTCTTTAAATGGTTGCCTCTGAGTTGTGGTCACAACAGGACCTAATTCTGATCAAAGGGAATTGAAAATATTCAGCTTTCCCAGTTTAACTTTTTTCATTCATATCATCATTATAATTTGTTTTGTTTTTCTGATATTGTGTCATTTTAGTTTAACATTTATGTTCATATTGTTTAAATAAAGTCAGTAGTTTATCACCATAGCACTTTCATTTCAAGTAGTGCCTAAATGCCAAGCAATAATGCACCAAAAACTATATAAATACACATCCTCAAGCAAACTATGCATTTATTGTGTTTGCCTAACTA